TCGGTCCTGGGGGTCACGGTAGTGATTTCAGAACGATTAGGAGTTTCTCTAGTAGGCCCTACAAGAATAGGCTGAACCAGAAAGAGACATGACCAACTGAACCAAGAACGATCAGCAATTCAAGGAAACTCAACATAGCGTGCCGTCCGCATTTATGGTGAAGTCAGCACTTTATGGTGTGTGATTATGTGGTCAATACATCCTATGCCAGAATGAAGCCTATAGTGATTTCGCTTATTCGACTTATCCGAGAACTGGATAGGCGCAGCAGAATGTCATTAGCATTGTTGAAGCATTGATAACGGGGATAAAGCGGTGAATATCTCCGAATGAGCATAACGGCTGATGATCATCAGTCTGAAAATACCTCTCCATGCTTCAGTAAAAGTGGATAGCAGTTGGGCATACAGTTTACCCTGAATCTCTTCCACACTACAAAGCTTGATAGAAACGGTACACAAAAGCTCAGGCGATTCAGCGAAAATGGTAACACATGCCTACTGAAATGATTTTCAAAATGCTCTGCGCAACAGTCTAAACGACGTGTCAACTCTCAGTCGCATGCGTAAACTTATCACTTATTAGTCCCACATCATAAAATCTCCATATTCCACTTCAGGAAACATAACTCAGTTGCCTGATGAATAAAGGGTAATTTTTCGGGCTCACATCTTTCGCACTCGAAGTGTTCAGATACATTTAATACGACTAGAGAACGTCGTAATGCCAGTAACAACACAAACTCGAATAAACCGTGGACCAAATGGTTTGGTATATTTACTGATTTTGGGGGTACGCACGGCTGCCTACCGCACGGAAGTGTTGCGCCGAAGTGGGATGTATGCAGTGGACTGCATACTTTTACTGAGACACCTGAGATGGCTCGGTCATGTGAGCCGTATGGATTCGACGCGAATACCGAAACAACTTTTATACAGTCAGCTGAGTATAGGGAAGCGGCACGTGGGGAAACCCAAGTTACGTTACCAGGACATGATTGAAGTGAGGCTCACACGTTCTAATCTTGATTGCAGATCATGGGAATCGAAGGCGGTTGATCGTGGTGCATGGCGCGATCTAATCACGAAGGCAGTTGCTGAAGTACGGGAGAAAGCCCTCATGCATGCAGAGAAGAAGCGGCAAGTGCGGAAGCGGCAAGCACCGATGAATTGTACTCCATCGACATCGAGCGCATTGTGCTGTAGAACATGCGGTCGCGAGTGCCTTAGTCAGGCAGGCCTAGTAAGCCATGAGAGAGGTCACTCGGGACCACTGCCGAAGCGACGACGGGTCCCGCAGTGAACGTAGGCAGCACCGGCGCAGCGTTTGTAGGCACGCTGAATTCGATTTACTAACCGCGTGCTTGCATGCTAAGTCTCTTTATTTCAGGCGGTGGGTTTTCGGTTCTCCCCTAATGCCTTTCTTCCTCATATAAATGTCTAGTGGGCCATGCGCTGTGCCATTTGGGGCCACTACAGAAGCGGCGACGGGTCCTGCAGAGAATTACGACGAGCTGGCGCAGCGTTTGTAGGCACGCTGAATTCGATTTACTAACCGCGTGCTTGCATGCTAAGTCTCTTTATTTCAGGTGGTGGGTTTACACTTTTTACCTTAATGCTTTTCTTTCTCATATAAATATCTCCCTGTACTCTATTCCATTAACTTGCGCACATCGCTTCAGCCAATTGTATTCGATTTCCATAACATTATTGTGTTCGTGGCATTCCGTGAACTATACTTCCTGACCTCGTGCACTTAGCTAGGATTTGTTTGTAAACAACTTATTACCTATGCTATTTAATTAAGGTTTATGTCACCGTTTCCTTTTGCATTAATCGAGTTTTTCTCTTTTCTATCTCTCTCTCTCTCAAGTGTTTGGCTGTTGTTTGATCTCCCCGGTGTGGCTGCGCTTGATGTGCATGTTGACAAGGTGCCTACCTGTCTATTACCCACTACTTCGTCCATACTGGCTCCAGGAGACAGTTGGTCGTTGCTGGAGGGGACGGGGTGCACGGTCCTTGTGGCCGTGTTAGGCTCGAAGAGTGGTTCCATGCACTCAGTGTGGAGCGGACTACGGTCCAGCCACCGCCTTGTGTGCGCTTGATTCCCCAAATACAGTGTGCTTGTGTTTGCCTGTGAAGGAGTGTGGGCCGGCTCCGTTGATGAAACGTGGCTCCCATCCGCATGCCTCCCGGTCTTATTCCTTCGGGTTTACACTGGATATGGGGTGTGTGGTTGGAGCTGTGGGTGGTGCAGCGCAAGCCATCCATGGTCCCTCTGTAGGCGCAGGCGTCCTGTGGCTTGCCACAGTGACAGGCAAATCCGAAACCGGATGCCGCCAACCATGTGCTCACCTGGCGGGAGAGCCTATGGTGCGCTGAGGCTGGTGGTGGCTAGATCCTGACAGATGGTCGACCCACTGCTGCTACTGTTGCGCCATAGTCTCATGTTCTGGGCGCCTCCACGTGGCGACCGCTGGGTGGGAGTTAGGTTTCGCCCTTCTCCCTGCTAAGATCCAGGACACCAATCCGCATGAGTCAGCTAACTGACCATGTGCTAGACCCGCTGCCTTTCGGGTGTTCATTTAATCGAAGGCTTTGGCTGAGGACCCGAGTCGTTCTCCTGTCAGGATTGGGCGCCCTGGCAGTATCCTAGTCCATCCTCTCCGGAGGTTAGGAAGTGGTCGATGGTCCACTTCCCGTAAAACCTAGCCATGGGAGACAACAGGTTACGGGTTATATTCTCAATGCTCGATTGGCGTAGAGCACGAGTGCCACGCATTGTCTCTGACGGTGGGAGGACACCTCCGGGTGTTCAATGGTTTGCTACTGCCCGCCTCAAGTCAGGCAGCCCCTGGTCAAATTGGTGCAAACCCGCCAAAAACCCACCTGCGTCTAGCCGTGGTCGCAGGTGCGTATCCAATTACGGTCGCAAAACATATGATAATTGTTCCAGAACCTCAAAGGCTGCGTGTGACGGCCGTCAAGCAGATCCCAATCTGTCTCTGCAATCACATTCCCGAGCTGGATCTGCTCTCCACTGCCTTGTGGGTCAGACTATTGAGCCAGGCTCCGGGCGGAGTCCCTCAAGCAAACCTCCAAACCACCCACTGCCTTGTGGGTCAGGCTATTGAGCCAAAGGCTCCGGGCGGAGTCCCTCAAGCAAACCTCCAAACCACCCACTGCCTTGTGGGTCAGGCTATTGAGCCAAAGGCTCCGGGCGGAGTCCCTCAAGCAAACCTCCAAACCACCCACTGCCTTGTGGGTCAGGCTATTGAGCCAAAGGCTCCGGGTGGAGTCCCTCAAGCAAACCTCCGAAGGACAACGACCACCTCACGTGCGATTGCCCACCAATGCAATCGTATGCCTGCGCGCAAAGCACTCAGCATCGGGTGCTGGAACGTGCGCACACTACTGGACCGGAACTCCAGAGAGCGCCCGGAGCGACGCACTGCACTGGTCGCAATGGAGCTGGCGCGCTACCACATCGATATTGCGGCGCTCAGTGAAACTCGGCTTGCTCAGCAAGGTAAGTTACATGAAGCAGGTGCTGGCTACACATTCTACTGGGTGGGGAAC